CAAATCTACGGAGTTGATATACTCGTGTTTTATTTTATCATGGTTTTCATAAATTTTAATAAGGACTTTTCTTATGGTTTTAAGTACTTTTAATGTGTTTTTACAGTATTTGTAGTGTCAATGTCATTACAACTCTTTTTTGGGCTAAAGGAGCACAACTTACAACAAAACTAAACTACAAATGCGTTTACAATTATTCGCTGAAGACCATACTATGCATAGTAGTCAACGACTATTTGTGCTCTTTTTTGGGCAAGTTACTAATCAAGCCCAATTCTATGCATGGAGTAGATTTTTGCAGTTCTTAAATACTTTAGGGCTCCTATTCTGAAAAATATAGATATTTAATATTAAAATAGGACTCAAATACAAACTGAGAACATGATCATGAAAAGAAAAAATCAACCCTGTCAATGATATACAATTAAACGTTTCTCACGATTATACTAACTAAATCTCAAATGAGGATATTAGTTAATGGATGGCCCGGTTTTAGGGGTGTAAAAAGGGCTTTATATTTCTAAAAATCTGCAAAACAGATTCTATCAATTTCAAAAAAAAAAAAAAATTTGGCACAGGGCCATTGATGCAATGAGCCGGGCCTGTGGATAGTAGCCAACGACTGAACGGGTTACCGAATGAAATATCTTAGAGATCGTGATGATGTATGATAATAAGAATTGCTTGTGTAGCCTAGATTGTCATTACTAATTGAAATGACATGAGACTACACGCGTAGAACTTCTATTGCGACCGTGTAGGATTTAAACTATGTTGCATGTGGATGGAAATGAGCATTTTACTGAATCTAGTAATTTGAACTCCTCTCATAGTTCTTGCGTGCGTACTTGGTCGAGACCAAACTTAATGGCTAGTGTCTAGCAACACGAGGATGGGTGGTCGATCAATTCAACAAATCTCGGGTTTCGACTGTTTACAGCTTTATTTCGGTTCAACATTTGGACTGTTTTTCTCAAAATAAAAAATATATTTGGATTGTGTTTGTTTGGGGTCGATGAGATTTTTACTTGGCGACTAGGAAAATGCTGAATAACGTCATAACGAGGAGCCCAAGACGGAGAGTGAACGAGTGCACGTTCCTAGAAGGACATGCCTCTCTCCCGTGACTAATTGAAATAATGCTCGTCACTGTCAATCGAAACCACAATCTTTCACAAAATATCTAATTTGGTCCCCCCAAACTCTTTTACACATGTTTTTTGATTAATGTCTTAATAAGGAATTCATCAAACTGACCTAGGTCTTCTGACACGAAGAAGGCGATGTGTTTCCCGACCCACCCAAAAACTGAAGCTCTTTTTTGTCACAAATCTCCAACGAGAAATCCCTCAGCGTTTGCGCCGCACCGCCGTTTGTTTCTGTCTGCGTTTGAGCAACGGCTGAAGCGTTTGAGACGTAACTAGTGACCGGTCTAGTACAGACGTTCAGAAACGGTGCGGTAGCAGCAACGGTGGGTATGGCCCACATATGGCCCGTTTGATTCGGCCCACTAGTAACGAGCGGCCAAAACGGTACCACGTTCTGCGTATTGAGGTTCATGACGTTGACTCCGTAATTTGACGCCGTAATTGGAGCAAGACCAAAAGTAACGGAACTGTCTTGTTCGTTAACGTCTACAAACTCACTCGAACAGTTTCTCTTCCTCCGTTTCCTCGTTAGGTCACCGGAGCCGCCGTCATTTTGAAGCTGCGGCGGAGAGTTTCTCGGGATTTTTAGGGTTCCGTTGACGGAGACAGCTATCGCCGGTATGGTTCCGGTTCCCGTTGCTTCGATTATCGCCGATTCGGAGCGTTCGAGAAGCCACCGAATGGTTTCTCCGTCGGATTTATGGCCGAGCTCACGGGTCAATTGAAAGATCCGAGCGGCGCAAGTGGCGGGCATTCGGATCCTCCGACCACGACCTTCTACTTTCGTGTGACGGTCTTTAGACGGTCTCTTCGGTGCCGGTTTGCCCTGGTGGATAAGCGAATTCGTCATCGGCTGCAAAAATCCGACTTCCTCTTGTTTCCTTATTTGGTCTTCTTTCTTCATGAGCATACCCGGGTCGGTTTCCGGATCCGGATCGGTTATACGGGTCATGGTTACCAGTGAGCAGTGGTCGTTGTTGGCGAGGACAACGTTTTCGTCAATCTCTCGAATCACTTTGCCTTCTTGATTCGATTCCATTACCCAAAAGTCCAAAACCCTAGAAATCTGAATGTCACGACACTCAGATTTTCAATAACACAGAAAAATAATTTCAAAAGAAAAAGCTGACGGATAAACCACGAAAAGATTTAATTTTTCTGTAAAAGATGAGGAATTTAGTCGGATTAGTCAACTTAATTGTAACTGGTCATTTTCCAAGGAATTTGACAGAGGAAGCAACCTAATAAAAGTCTGGATTTTTTTTGTAAATTAAAGAACAGTGAAAAAAGAGGGAAAAACAAAACAAAATAAAGCTGAGAAAACCCTAGAAAGGTAGAAAAATTCCTCTTACCTTATCTTCTCCACGAACCCTACAAAGATGGAAGGAGGGGGGGGGGGCCCTCAAGATCCTCGTTTGATTTTTATAGTCTCATATCAAATCAACGGTGTAGATCACATCTCACGATAAGATAGCTGAACCAGTATGGGCCTATTTAATTTATTGGGCCTTGGCCTTGCCAGTTTCACGTTATCTTTCTACATGAGTGTTGATGTGGCTGTGAATTTTTGCTGAATAAATAAATCAAAAGAAATCTACGTGCAAGTTAATTAAAAGTTGAACCGGGTCTGATTTTTAAAGAAGTGAACCGAACCGGTGAAAATCGAACCAAAACTATGCTACAAACTAGACTACTTCACGGCTCTTGTGTTCAAAAACATGAATTCCACATCTCACACTCTCTTTCTCCACAAACTCTGAATCCAAAAACCGAGCAACGAAAATCCAAAGCTTATAAACATCTTCGAAGTTCGCAAGAAACCCTAACGCAGCAGTGAGAACAGAGATCCCCGGTTCGTCATCTCTGTTCTTTCTCTTCTCAAGAACTCTATCTTTCACCCCTTCGTGCTCCTCTTCGAACGAGATTTTCTTCAAGAAACCTTGTCCGAGCGAGATGTTGCTGCAATCTGCTAGCTTCTGCACGATGAATGGTTCGATTCTCTCTCCCTTTTGGTTGAATAGATTGAACGCAATTGCCGGTCCTCGATTGAAATTAACTTTTGGACCGTAGATTTTAACGAGGCCACTACTTGTAGAATGCTTGAGTTTGTATAGAGCACTTACCAACCAATTAATCAAACATCTTGATCTGTTCCCTGTTGCTACCAATCCAAGGGAATCCACATGATCTAGGCCTCTATATTCGATTCGAGAACTAGAGCTATCTGTTTCATCCGATTTGATTTCCAACGCGTGTAATGAAATTGGATCGTCAGTAGGTACGAGGTTAACCATACCTGAACCAGTAGAGGATTCAAGAATAGGAATGGTAGATTTCTTAACGAACAAGCAGCCGAATCCGGAAGGGTTTTCTCCAAACACCTTGTAGAACGAACACACCATGAAATCGGGGTTATATATCGAAAGACCAAAGCTGTCCATATCTTTAGGACCCAATCCACAAGCATCGATCATCACATGCCATCCATTTTCTTGCGCCACACTCATCCATAGATACGGATACCTAGATCCTGTAACCCTAGAATGAAGCGGAAAGACAAAAATACCCTTCGTCTTCTTCTTGCTTCCGCTTTTACCTGCAGTGACCATCTTTCTCAGCTTGGAAGAACAGATTCTCAGCCTTGGCCATGAGAATTCCGCTGCAGCTACTTTGGCTCCACGTTTCTCTGAGACTCTGTTGATTTCATTCACAGCTTCACTCTCGTAGTCGTAAACCGACAAAAGCTTCCGTTTTGAGTTAAACGGGTAACACTCGGCGACGAGCCTGAAAGCAGAGGTTCTGTTTGCGGTGAAGACCATCGAGTAGTCTTCCTCGGAGATTTTGAGAAAATTCATGATTCTTCTCTTCATCGAGTACTCGAACTCTGTTTCTTGACCTCCGTCGTGGAGAAGCTTCTCCTTGAGGTTACCGATCTTGGGAGAAACACTGAAGAAGGGACTTTCAGACAAGGAAGAGGAGATCTGGTAAGTGGAAGGGTCGTAGTTAAGCAACTGAGAGTAAGAGTATAAACCAATCCCAATGTAATCAAGACACGTGTAATGTGATAGACCCAAGTGAAAGTAGTGGTCGGATCTGATGCGGTCGATCTTGTAAGTGTCGGAGTAATTGGGGTAAGCTTGGATGAAATCGGTGAAGGATTCTTGAAGGGTAGGGAGTGAGTTTGGGTCGGCGAATTGAGTGTCCGGGAAAATGGTGGAGACGGTGGTTTGGGCGAAATTGCGGCGGAGAGTGGCGGAAGTGACGGTGGTGGTGGTTGAATCTGGTGGATGCTCGGAGGATGTGGCGGCGCTGTGGAATGGTGACGACGAGAAGCAGCCGTGAAGACAGTTTGGTGGTGGTGAATCTCCGGGACATGGTCGGTGCATTTTTGTGGGTTCAAAAGATTTGTTTTGTGAATAGTCAAGTCATTAGCGTAGCTTTTGTGTTAAATAAGCTAGTCTTAAAGTTTTATAAAGTAGTAGTGCACCTATGACCAAAGCTTGTCTCTTTTGTCTTTTACTATATCACATAATAAAATCATGTTTCTACATGATAATATCTTACGAAGTGAATGAAAAGATTTTTTTTTTTTTTTCATAATTGTATTTCTCAATCGCCACGTTATATAAACATGATAATTTTAAGTGAATGAAAATAGTCTTATGGGACCGATTGGTGATTCAGTTTGAAATGAGCGGTTAAAAATTTTTGAGCGGTTGAATAGTGGATCGTTTGAAATAAAGCGGTTAGGGAAGGCGGTTGGATAATAGAGAACAATTCAATTATAAGGTTGATTAGTAACATTGTAGATGTTGAATAGTATAATTAGATAAAATTATGTAATAATTTTTTTTAAATGATTTTAAAATATAATGCATTGAAAAATAATTAAAAATTAATAATATAAATTAGTAGTAAACATATATTACAATTATTGACTTTAAAAAATATTAAAAAACTAGCATATACGAATGAGTTCTAAACTTTTAAAAACGAAAACTAACCTACAATCTAGTACATATAGTTTAGCTATTTTTATATATATTTTTGGTTAATTTGGGTACTGTAGATATATTAGATAAAAATAACCAATTTAAATAATTCTAAATTTTTTAATTTTTTTTGGATAATTCGAATTCAAAATAATTAATTCGAACCAAATGCAAAAACAAATGAATATTTCGAATATTCTTTAAGTAGTAAGAGTA